GGTGGATGTAGCTCACCATCGAACAGGCAATCTTGTTACACCAGCTGAGCCCTCCTGCCACCTGTTGACAGCTCAGTAGCAGATAAGCTCCGGCGCAGCGTCACTGGCCCATGTGGGAATTGAGCCGGTGGCCCTGTTGCTCAGAGCTCGCGCTTTTAAGCCAACTCTTAACCAACTGAGCCACTCGGCCAGCCCCTTGATACTTTCTTTAAAGATACTTTTCATTAAAGATTCTCTCATGAAGTATTTATATAACTGGGAGCTGAGAGGCTAAGGCACTCAGGTACCTGGTTCTTCAGTGAACTTAACTGTGTGGCCTTGGGCAAGTCACTTAACCTCTCTGTGCTTCAGTTTCCCTATCTTGTAAAATGTGAATAATACCTACTTCACAGGGTTGTTGTGAGGATTAATTAGCTATAATGTCTGTAAAGCATCTAAGGTTCTTGAAGAAGGCACTATATAAATACAAAATAATATCTGTTAAAATTTATTTGTGAAAAAAAATAAAGTTGTACACCTGAAATTTATATATAATGTTATTAATCAAGTTACTCCAATAAGTTTAATCAATTGATTAACATGAACTGAGATCTGAAAGTGGAAAATATAAAAAGGGAACCTTAAGGGGAGGGGTGTCATGGGTTGTATTTTTGTTTTTTGCTTTTAAAACATAGGTTTCAGGTCTCTGTCTAGAAAGCTTATCCTCCCCTACCTCCCACCTCCTTCACCAGACAAATCTGACTCATCCTTAAGGTCTCATCTCAAAAGGCACTTCCTCAGCAAGACCTTCTGTGGCTATTCCCTAAACTGAATTAGATTCCCTGTTACTCTCTCACACAGCATCCTCTCATTTTGTACCAGAGAGCTGATCAAAATTTGCAATCATGTGTTTGTTCATTAGCCTAGTGTCTGCCTGCACTCTGAGATGATAAGCTCCAGGAAGGCAGGAACCACATCTGTCTCGTGCCTAGAGCCTAGCATCTAGTAGGCTCTTCATAAATGTGTGAATGACTACATCAATGAAGACAGTCATTTTAACTCTGAGGCCCTCTCTTACCATTTTCTCCTCTGCCTTGTTTATATCTGTTCTTGTCTAAGAACAGAGATACTTCCAAAGCTGTGACTGGAATTTTTTTAACCTTTCCCCCACAACAACTTTACTTCTAAAATCCAAAGCTTCTCTCAAAACATTGCTCCAAAATATCTACTCCCTACGAAAGAGACATGTGTTGTGCTATAGACATGCTTTGACAAAGATCCAAGAAGTTCTTACTGCCATTTTTCCAAAGGACAAACAGATACAGAGTACAAAGTGTGATCAAACAATACGGTGAATGTTTAAATAAAAAAAAAATTATTACAGTAAAAGACACATTGCCATTAATCCTTCTCAAAATACTCCCCCTCGCTTCAAATACAGTTATCCCATCGTTTTTGCCACTTTCTGAAGCAGTTGTGGACATCTTCTTTCGTGAATGTCTTTACTTCATCCTCCATGATGATAATGTTCTGTGTTGCTTCTGGTACGGCAATTTCTGTCAAATAAAAACATTACAGTATGTCCTCATCCACCTTATTCACTGGACTGGCATTGTGCAACTTCTGGCTCTTCCCCAAAGTCAAAATGATTCAGGACATCGAGGCAGCCATGACAGCACAACAAAAGACATTCATGAAAGAGGACTTCCAGAAGAAAGTGGCAAGAACGATGGGATGGGGGCCAGCCGAGTGGCTCAGTTGGTTAAGAGTTGGCTTGGGAGCGTGAGCTCTGAGCAGCAGGACCACCGGTTCAGTTCCCACGTGGGCCAGTGACGCTGCGCCTTCTACAGCTAAGATGCTGAACAACAGCTCAACCTGGAGCTGGGCTGCTGTGGGTCGCCGGCGACGGCATAGGCTGTAGCCCCTGTGGCAGTGGGTTGCCATGGGCTACCATATGTAGCCAGCAGCCAGTGTGAGCGGCCAGCAGCCGCAGTGAGCGGCCATCCAGAAGCCGGTGACTGATGTGCCTAGCCTGGGAAGAGCGCAGTGATGGTGCCAACTTGGGCCAGTGAAGCAACGTCCTCCACAACTAGACTGAAGAACAAAACAAAACGACAGCAACTTGTCTGTTCCCCTTCCCCCAATTCCCCAGTGCTGTTCCCATTCCCCAATAAAAAAAATCTTTAAAAAAAAAAAGAACTTAACCTTGCCCATAGAGAAGCTGACCTCTGCCCTTGGCTCCTGAGAAGTAACTTCTAAGCCCTTTGAATGTCCTGCCTAATAGAAGTGTGTTACCTGGGGGTCTTTGGCTACACGAGTCCAGCAAGGTGACGGGAGAGGGGGCGGCAGAAGGGTAGGACTTTGGATCACATGTTATCAATTAGACCCCTGGAAGGACTGGAGACTGAGGTCTGCTAACTAAGTCTACATACCAGTCCCCAATAAAAACTTTGGACACCAGTGCTCAGATAGAGTCCCTGGTTGGCAATACTTTGTGAGTGCTGTCACACACAGTTACCAAGAAAATTTAATGCTGCCCATGACTCCACTGGGAAAGGACAACTGGAAGATCCATTTTAGAACTTTCCTGGACTCTGCCCCCATGCACTGCTTCCCTTGCCTGGCTTGAACCTGTTTCCTTTCACTGCGATCAACTAACCATGAGTATACCAGCTTTAAGTGAGTTCTGTGAACTCTCCTGGTGAATTACCAAACCTAAAGCTGGTCTTGGGGGCTATCCCTAACTTGCAGTTGTGTGTGAGGGTGGTCTTGTGGATCAGCCCTAACTTTGGTTAATAGATATGTAGTGGGATTGGAGGGGGGGGGTGGCAGTTGCAGACGAGAATGGCTGATTCTGCCCACAGAAGTAAAGGTTCAAATAGGAATCTGTTGAATGGAGTTTTTCAAAGATGAGCAGGTGATTCACCAGATGACTGCAATCAGAGTAAGGAGGGGTGGTGTGTATGTGTTGGGGGAAATATGAAACAAAGGTGTTTGTACAGAGAACGATAAAGCAGCATCACTGGAGAGGAGGCAGCAAAGAAAGCAAGGTAATTCTGGGGCTGGACAAATACACTAAACCCCAGTCACGAGGAAGCTCAGCAGGCTGAGAAGCTCCATGTGTACCTTCCCTGAAGTAACATGATCAGATTTGCAGTTTTAGAAAGGATCACTCTGCCAGCTCTGGTGGCAGGGACAAAGTGGTGGTGGTGGTGGGGACTGGTGGCAAGGAGACTAGGTAAGAGACCCTGGTAAGAAACTAGGTAAAGGGCTGGTCGACTGGCATGTTGGTTAGGATTGGCTTGGGAAACCAACTCTGAGCAGCAGGGCCCCAATTCAGATCCCACATGAGGGCCAGTGACGCTGCGCCCTCTACAGCTAAGATGGTGAACAACAACTCGACCTGGATCCAGGTTGCCGTGAGTCACCGGCGAAGGTGTAGGCTGCAGCCCCTGCTGCAGTGGGCTGCTGTAAGCTATCGTGTGTGGCCGGCAACCAGCGTGAGCTGCCAAGAGCCGCTGTGAGTGGACGTCTGGTGGCCGGAGACCGATCTGACTCACCCGGGAAGAGCACAATGATAATACCAACATAGGCCAGTGAAGCGACGTCCTCTACAACTAGACTGAAGAACAAAAGGACAGCAACTTGTCTATTCCCCTTCGCTGATTCCCCAATGCTGTTTTCCTCCCCCAATTCCCCAATAAAACCTTTAAAAATAAAAAAATAAAAAGAAACTAGGTAAGTACTCCAGGAGAGAGAAGATGAAAGCTTGAATTAATGCCTTAGGTTGTAGAGGAAACAGAGAAGAGGTGGGATTTAAAAGACATGGTGATTCACTAGTTGTGAAAGGTAAGAAATAGACAGAAATCATCAGAATGATTCCTTAGCTTGGGTGACTAAATAATATTAACAAGGTCAAGAATCCCAAGAAGAGCGTGACTGAGGGGGAAATATAATGAGTTTAGTTTGGGACATGCTGAATTTGAGATGACTGGGATATGACTGTTAAGTGTTAGATCTGTATATACAGGGCTGGAGAGAAGATAGAGACGGCATCAGCATACACACGGCAGGTTAAGTCAGGTAAGATAAGGCCTGGGAAATGTCCCTTAGATTTGGAAATCAGGACACCACCAGTCCCTTGAGGAGAGCACTTGAAGTGGTAGGAACACAAGTCAGATTTCAGTGGGTTGAGACATGAGTGAGAAGTGAGCTAGTGGAGAAATACTGAATGGAGATAAACCACTGCCAAATACAAGTGGATTTGTTTGACACCAACTCTTCCATGCAGGCATTAGAACCGGCATGGTTATTCTGATCTAACATTAAAATAACCAAGTCTTGGTCTGGCCAAGCGGCTCAGCTGGTTAAGAGTTGGCTTTAGAGCGTGAGCTCTGAGCAACAGGGCCGCTGGTTCGATTCCCACATGGGCCAGCGACACTGAGCCCGAGCTGAGCTGTTGCTGAGCTGCCAACAGGCAGCAGGATGGCTCAGCTGGTGTAACAACAAGATTGCCTGTTCGATGGTGGGCTATGCCCACCCACAACTAAGACTGAACTTGGCCCCTTGAGCTGAGCAGCCGCCCAGATGGCTCAATAGATAGAGTGTGCACACTTGTACAACAAGGCTGCTGGTTCATCTCCCACATGGGATGGTGGCTATGCCCACCTGCAACTAAGACTGAACACAGCACCTTGAGCTTAGAGGTCACGAGCTGCCGATGGGCAGCCAGATGATGACTGGCGCCCTCCACAACTAAGACTGAAGAACAACAACTTGGCTTGTCCCCTTCCCCAATAAAATCTTATAAATAAATAAAATAATCAAGTCTCCTTATTTTGCCTGGTCTTTTCTAGGTACATGGGTTCCAGTGGCACTTGACATGAAATAGATGTTTGCAGCTAGTAGTCCCTTGCTAACCCGTGTGAAATGGGTCCTCCAGTCAAGGCAAGCAGGGTAGGCCACAGAGGGCAGTGTGGTATCAGGATTCTTCGGTTACAAGCACAGAAATCAGCTCTGGCTACTTTAAACAAGATGGACTTTACTAGATGTTCACAGGTTTCATAGCAAGAAAAAGTAACACCCTTTCCCCTCCGTGGGCAGAATAAATGCATTCCTACTATTCACTCCCTTTGTTTCTCTGCTCAAGACACAAACTCTTGGTGAGGGGCATGTGATTGACCCACCTTGAGGCCTGAGCCTGATGCTTGGCTGAGAGGGCAGTTCCCCCAAATTACAGTCCCACCAGACCATAGAGCATGGGGAAGAGAGAATTCCACAAAAAAAAACGGAGCTGCTCAGAAGTGTGCCCAGAAAACAAATATCCATCACAGCAACCTACAATATAACACAGCCATCTTTGAAATAGGTGACATTTCACACAGAAATGTGACCAGGAGATACACTCTGTTCAGTAATCAATAATACAGGGCTCCTCAGTTAAAAATATAAGGGGCACTCCTCTGAGATATATCCTTCCAGATATCATTCAACAGTATCAAGTTGTGCCTGGTCGTAAGTTTGGCTGTATGTTTTTTGACTCATGCATCTTTCCCCAGTGTGTGTCATTTGGGGAAGCAGTCCTTCCAGATCTGATTATTTCTGGGCAGAGCCCAGCCAAATCTCAATACTACTAACACACACTGCTCCTGAAACAATACAGGAGGCTGCTGCCTAGGGCAGCCCACAACATGCACGTGGGCAAGAGGAGCACGATGCTCCTGTTGCAGAACTGACCTTATTAGAGTTCAGGAAAGAGCCTACTGATGTAGGCATGCTGAAATCTACAGCCTGCAGGAACACTACTGGGGCGGGAGGGGTTGCGGATTTTCTGGAGTCACTTGAGCAGCCCTCTAAGAGCTCCACACTGAGGCTGCTCCCACTGGTGTGCTGAATTTGTATGATCAGGCTCCACTCAAGCACAACCCCTGCCCAGATTTGGTCCCAGAATTAACACAAAGGGACAATGGCATGTCACACAGCATCGACCTATATCCCTCTGAAATTTTGTCCATAGGATGCTAGTGCTGCTGGACTGGAATAGTCATGTCCTTTTGTCCAATAAGAGAAGTCCCAGAAAGGTGGAAAGCAGTGTGGGGTGCAGACTGCAGCCATGGGAAATGGGACACATTTCCTGAACACAGCAGACACCATCTTCCTTCCACTCCCACAGCTGCCAAAGAACTCTAGTTCACAAACTGATTGCATCTTGCCTGCTCAAAGCTCTCCACTGGCTCCCTTTCAACCATGACATAAAATCCAAAACCTCTGCATAACATAATTAGGCCCATCTCTCTCAAGCGTCCTCTCCCACAGGCCTCCAGTCCTGTGTAATGCCTGACCCATGCTGAACCCCTGCAGGCCCCAGAGCACGTCATGCCCTGCTCTGTAGGGCTGCAGCCGCATACCCTCCTGCCTGTGAGAAAGTCCTCCCCTCTTCGTCTGCACAGCACATTTCTGTCCCCCTCTGAGCCTTGGCCCATTTCTGATGACCTCTGTGGAACCTCCTCCTGCTCTTCCCAGTTCCCAGGCTCTATGTGCCTTTCTGCACTAAAGCAACCATCTCACTACCTGGATGCACTCTGGGTGCAGCTGGTGGATTTATTTTCTCATTCTCATGGGGTGCTCTTCAAGGGCAGGACCTGTCCATCTCCATAACCCACTCTACAGCTCAACCGTCTGGGTGAGTGAACTCCATTTGCATTTTATCTCTGGCAATGTCTAAACCAAAGCAAATCACACTTGTTTTCTCAGAAGTGGGAACATTGTCAAATACCAAGAATTGCAGTTCCTGGTAAGAACTTTTAGAAAATGACGTTAGCAACAGCAGCAACTGGAAATTCAGCAGAATGCTTAAGTGCTAAAAACAGTGAAATGGGCCAAAACATGAACAGTCATGGTTTAAGTGGCCTGGGGGTGCAGCTGGAGGAGATTCATGACTGTCTAAAGTTTAAGAATCACAGGTTCTTTCTTAAGAATCATATATATTTGCATTGTGGATCTGGGATACATTTTTACAGGGGTTGCTCAAATCCGAAGACCTACTAATCTGGGAACCTCCCCGAACTGTTTGGGCCAGCATTTCAGACAGGATATAAGCTGTGTCCAACTGGAGTGGCTTTGGAAAGTCCACTGTAAAATGAAGTCACTTATTGTCGTCACTGTCCTTCTCTCCAACCTTCCTTCTGGAACCAAGCACCATCCTGTGACTCCCAAAGGGGGCTGCAGTTAGTTGTCCATCAGATTCCCGGGGCAATCCAGGCTGTGGAGGGCGCCCTTGAGCTTGGGGGTAGATAGGTGCTCCAGCTCATAGCGGCTGCTGTCAGAGGCCTTGTGGGCCAGCTGCTCTTTCACACCCTCCTTCTGGTTCCTCTTGTGCTCAATAATCTGCTGCAGCTGGATCCCCGCATATTCTGGCTTGGAGGTCAGCGGGCCAAGCGGCACGGCTATGCCAAGGACATCGGACACCATGTACGGGCGCAGCCAGCCCACCAGAGGAGTGCTTCCAGGGCTATAGTGAGTCTGCTTGTGGTAGAAGAGAAGCCCATCTACCTACAAGGGGGGACACCAGGGATCAGAATGACTTCGGGGGCCACATGTTTCCAGGAGACCTACACATACAGGGGGAGCTCTTGTGGTCCAACTCCTTTTCTTGGGTCACTGCCAGAGGAAAAAAAGTTCTTGTTTCTCACATGCAATTTCCCTAAATGAAGAAATGGCCTAGAAAACTAAATTTTAGACAATAAGAACAAAAATAGTACTTTCCTATTTACAGGGTGCTTTCCTACCCACTATTTCACCCACCACGAAATGGGACTGGGGCCGGCCGAGTGGCTCAGTTGGTTAAGAGCTCGCTCAAGAGTTTGAGCTCTGAGCAACAGCGGTTCGAGTCCCAGCCCGAGCTGAGCAGCCGCTGAGCTGCCAAAAGATAGCAGGATGGCTCAGCTAAAAAAAAGAAAAAAAAAAAAAGAGGTGGGACTGCTCAGAATTCTGGGGACCTCTCTGAAAACACAGTGAAGCAGACATTCTCTCCCCCAACCCATGCACTTCCTTCACCCTGAGGTCTCACGGTGGGGTATGTGCTCTGCACAGGGAAAGCAAGGGAACTAGCAGCCCCTAAGGACTGCTGAGCACGGGAAACCGGCTGTCAAGAAGCCCTGCACAAAGGGTCACTCCGCAAGATGGCAGTGGCGGTGACCTTCTGTCAGCTGTTTTGCCGGAGCGGCGGCCCTGAGCCTTCCCCAAGGCGCCAGGCGCTTCAGGGTGCGGACCTTGCCAACCAGGGAGAAGGTGACGCACACCAGCCAGGCTTATGATGGTAAAGACTACAGGAAAATTCGATTTGTAAGTCGTCAGAAAGAGGTAAATGAGAACTTTGCCATTGACCTGACAGCTAAGCAGCCCGTGAGTGAAGTGGGGAGCCACATGACAGCGTTGTGACAACGGTGGGGGGGCGCTGGGCCATCTGAAGGTCTACATAAACTTGGACAAAAAAACAAAGACTGGGACGTGTGGTTACTGCGGACTCCAGTTCCGACAGCAGCATCACTAGGCGGCCCGTCATCTGGGCCTCGGCCGTGTCCTTTATGTGTCAGCGTAAAATGGGCAGATGCACATACTGTGTGAGCAGGTCCTAGTGCCAATAAAGCCTCTTGTCTAGGAAAAAAAAAAAAGCAGCCAGGCTCTCCAAGGCATTGTTGGCTGCCTAAACCTCCCCCTAAATTTTTTGGGAGCTATGTTCTGGGAAGCTCAGCTTTTCTGAACAGGAAGAATTCCTACTCCCACATTTTCTTTTCCAGCGAGTAATTGACTCATCTGTAAAAAGCATTTATTGTCACTAGGCATAAGAGCTATAAATAAAGATGGTGTTCTTACCACCTTCTTAATTGACTCCCAGAAATCAAGGCAACTGTGCCTTTGCCATGTGGGAAGCTGTGATCCTTTGAGCAAAATTATATCCAGTTCAAGCAAAGACTTGTGGGTGGCTAGGCAGAGTTTTAAAGGGTGTGATAGGCTAAGGAAAGTTTGCTTGTTGAGCCTGGAGAGAGTAACAGCAGGTTCTAAGGATGACAAAAAACTGTGAGACTGAGGAGCTTCTGGGACGGGGGCTGCTCAGCACTAAGACTGGGACAGTGCAGGGCAACTGGGCTAATGGGGTCACCCTGTCCCATGCCACTGCTCAGCAAGCACTGCCATCCTCAGGGACCATTTGCTCTTTTGAGGAAGGAAGGATTAGGAGTTCACACTCCTGGGGTCTGTCAGTCACAGAAGTCAAAGGGCCTGGTTGTCAGGCTTGTAGCAAAAAAAAGCACACAAAGAAGGAACTAGGAACAGAAGCCTCGCCAGACGCACTGTCCTTCCAGGGCCTGTCCAGCTCTGGCATTGTGACTTATCTAGCAGGATGGAGCTAAGGCTCTGGAAGGGGTGACCACAGCCTGCAATCACATCAGAGCAATAAGGACAATGGTTTTGTTACCTCAAAAGGGAAATCCATAGACAGCACCTTACACAGGCTCTCAGGAGTACAAGGAAAATTCTTTAGCCCCACAAATTTAAACTAAAATATAAAGCAGAACAAAGAATTAGTACATGTTACAAATAATATTGGTTCTAGCAACTGAAAAGCTATAAGAAAAGTGTTCGGTCTCTTCCTCCCCAAACACCTCCACTCCACCTACCCACGGAATTACTAGGTCAGTGGTTCTCAACCTGCTTTATATGGAGAATCATTTAGGGAGCTCCTAAAAATTACTGATGCCCAGGCCCCACCCTGACATTCTGACTGAACTGGTCTAGAGAGAGGCCTAGGCATTTTTTTTTTTTTTAAGTTCTCCAGTTGACATTAACATGCAGTCAGGACTGAGAACCACCATCCCGTGCTAGGTTTAGGGATCGTGTTCTTCTCCCAGCAGTCTGACAGTTGCCCCTAATGGAGGAGGAGTGAAGCCCCCTGCACACCAGCAAGGATTTTTAGACTGAAGCAGCGTAACAAAGTGATTAGGACTATAGGCTCTCAAGTTAGATTGCCTGGGTCTGACTCCGAGCTTCACCAGCCTCCATTTCCCCAGCTGTAAAATGGATACTAGAAGCTTATCTGCTTCACAGGGTTGTTGTGTGAGATAACGCATGTAAAGCACTGACAACTGCCTTTCGGAGAAAGTGGCTCCCATTTCCCCTTCCTCGATGCATGTTTCTCCAGGACATTATCAATAACATCGAAGGAAGTCCTGACCCCATTGATTGTCCTATAACTGTTACCTAGTTGCCTTTAAAAATGCTCTAAGCCATCCAAGCAGATGCCAATCCACAGGGCTTAATAAAATGCCCTGAATATAGCAGTCACATATTTAATCACTGAGCAGGTAGCAAAGGCACTTTGGGCTGTCATCCTGTACTGTGGGACCTTGGGGAAGGCAGTCCCCTCCCTGAGCCTATATTCTCATCTGTAAAATGAGGAAACTGACTAGATGAGGTTACTCTCAGCTCAGCTATAAGAGCAGAGGTTATCAAAGTGTGGTTCATGTATCATCATCATCGGGGAACTTATTAGAAATGCAAATTCTCAGACTTCCCCTTAGACCTACTGAGTGAGAAGCCCTGGGATGAGGTCCAGGAGTGTTTTGCCAGGCCTCCAGGGGCTGCTGATGCATGCTACAGTCTGAGAACCACTGTACTAGGATTTTAATACCTTATTAATGAAAGCAGTTATCAGCATTTTGTATCAACCACTATTTATCGAGTGCCTACCATAAGTAAGTACTATGCTGGGAGGATGTGCATATTTATGTCACCTCGTTCTTAGAACAACCCTATAAAGTAGGTGTTATTAACCCTATTATACAGATGAAGAAACTAAGGCCAAGTGAGGTTATTAACCTAGAAATTGTGAAGGCCCAAACCGGAATTCAGATCTGGATGACTATTAAACCTATACTCTCCCCATTATACCATGCTGACTCCAAAAAAGATAATTCATTCAGGATTGTATTTTGATAATAGAACAATCCTAAAGAACTTTGCAGTCCTAAGCCCAGGCCTTACAGGATTGAGCTTGGTGTTCTCTCCCAGTCCTTCTTCTGGTAACTTTGAATGCATCCAGTAGAATCGGAAATCAGTCTGCCAGAGAATGGAAAGAGAAAAATGAAATACTGCTCATCGCTCACTGTAATGTGAACAAAACACCCCATTCTAAATAGCCACCCGATTTATGCAGACCTAAGCCCTTCTATCATTATCCTCATTTCCCTTAAAACACTGCCCTAAGGTCAAGAAGATGTTCATAAAAATCTTTGAAAATTTTTTCTTAAAATCCAGTAGGATTACTGATAGCAGCAGAGCCAACAGTTATCACAAAGGCCTACTATGTGTCAGGCTTTGTGCTAAGGACTTTATACACATAATCTTATTAACCCTCACCCACACTTTGAGAGTTATATTACCATTATCTCCATTTACATGTGAGGACACTGAGGCTCAAAGAGATTACATCACTTGCCCAGGTGCACACAGAAAATACTGTGGAACCCAGGACTCTCCAAATCCAAAGCACATAAGGTCAACCTTTGTGTTAATTCTGAGGATTAGAAACTTCTATATAGTTATAACTTCTCAGAAACTACTATATTCTTTGAATTACTGATATGTATCTTTCTGTAGTTATTTAGGGCCTTTTCTTTCCTTACATTATTTTGCTAGTTGAAATTAAAAAAAACACACACAGTCGTCACAGCTGGAAGGATAATTCTTTTACAGCTCTCTTCCTTTTTTCCATGTCAGTTTGTCTGAATTATCTACCTGAGTCAGGTTTTTTTTTTTGTGTTTTTTTTTAAAGGTTTATATTGGGGAATTGGGGGATGGGAACAGCGCTGGGGAATTGGGGATGGGGAACAGACAAGCTGCTGTCCTGTGTTCTTCAGTCTAGTTGTGGAGGACGTTGTTTCACTGGCCCAAGTTGGCACCATCATTGCTCTCTTCCTGGGGGAGGCAGATCAATCGCCGGCTTCTGGAAGGCCGCTCACTGCGGCTGCTGGCTACACACGGTAGCCCATGGCAACCCACTGCAGCAGGGGCTGCAGGCTACGCCGTCGCTGGTGACTCACGGCAGCCTGGCTCCAGGTTGAGCTGCGGTTCAGCATCTTAGCTGTGGAGGGCAATGTCACTGGCCCTCATATGTGGGATCCGAACCAGGGCCCTCTGGCGTCCCAAGCCAGCTCTTAACCAACGTGCCATTCGGCTGGCCCTCTGAGTCAGTTTTTTTTGTTTGTTTTTGTTTTTTTAAAGATTTTTATTGGGGAATTGGGGGGATGGGAACAGTGCTGGGGAACAGACAAGTTGCTGTCATTTTTGTTCTTCAGTCTAGTTGAGGAGGACGTTGCTTCACTGGCCCAAATTGGCACCATCATTGCACTCTTCCTGGGTGAGGCAGATCAGTCGCCAGCTTCTGGACGGCCACTCACTGCGGCTGCTGGCCGCTCATGCTGGCTGCTGGCTACATACGATAGCCCATGGCAACCCACTGCCACAGGGGCTGCAGCCTACGCCGTCACCGTCGCCGTCGCCTCACAGCAGCCCAGCTCCAGGTTGAGCTGTTGTTCAGCATCTTAGCTGTGGAGGGCAGTGTCACTGGCCCTCATATGTGGGATCCGAACCGGGGCCCTCTGGCATCCCAAGCCAGTTCTTAACCACCGCACCACTCGGCCGGCCCTCAGTTTTGATAAATAAAATATATCTATTAAATTTTTATTTTACATGTATTTTATTTGCATAAATAGAGGTGAGAAAAGTAGTGTAAAAAGGTACAAAATTGTTCAGTTATTTTTGCAAACTCTATTAGTTTTTTTCTTTGTGGCTAGTCATCATAACAATTCTTATTTTATTTGTGATTTCTCCTGTTTTTCTTATTAAGTTAGATAGAACTTCATAAACTTTATTGAACATCATAAAGAACTATCTTACATATTGATTTATTTGGGTTAGTTTTTTTCTATTACTTTAATGTCTTATCAATTTTGTTTTTATTAATTTCTCATATTCATTTTATTGCATTGATCTATTATTCCCATTTGTTTAATACTTTCATTTTTAGTAATACTGAAAATTCAGATTATGACTTATTTTTACTTTGAGTTCAACTTCAACTCTATCACATTCATATTTTCATTAATATTGTTTAAATATTTTCTTTGGGAGAATACACTTTTATAGTTTTGATATCCATTTCCTAGATTGTGTATTCATGCATCTATTCAAAGACATCTTGTTTGCTTCCTAAATTTGACAATTAGGAATAAAACTGATATAAACATTCAAATACACACACACACACACACACACACACACACACACACACACACACACAGAGTCTTTTCTTTATATTATAAAAACATAGGTGGCTTTAGTTACCAAATTCATAGGTTGTGAATTCATATTAGGAAACATCTTCAACAGAATTAGAGGACAATATGTTCTGGACTGAATGTACAAGTTCTGAGTTTTAAGCTTAGGTATGTGCTTGGGCACTTACCACCTGTGGCTGTCAGCTTCCATATCTGTGTGCTGAGGAACAGTACAAGGTGATAGAGTTGTTGTAAGGGATTCAGTGAGACAATGCTCACAAAGGGCTTAGTAATGCAGGTCTCGGCTGTTACTGCTAGAATGATGGACTGCTAACATGATAGGATTCTGAGTACCACCACCTAGCACCATTTGGAAGCCTAGCTTCGGGTAAAGGCTGTAAGAAGCAGCAGCCGATGGTGAGAACCCGCAGTTCTCACACTTGGACCTGCATGAAGATCTCCTGGAGGCTTGTTAAAACATAAGCCACCCCACAAGTTTCATTCAATAGGTCTGAGAATTTACATTTCTAACAACGCCGAGAAACACTATAATAAACTAACAGGGCAGACTGAGTGGCGCGTTGGTTAAGAGTTGGCTTGGAATGCCAGCTTTGAGCGGCAGGCCCATGGTTCAGATCCCACATGCAGGCCAGTGACACTGCGCCCTCTACAGCTAAGATGGTAAACAACAGCTCGACCTGGAGCTGGGCTGCTGCGAGTCGCCAGCGATGGTGTAGGCTGCAGCCCCTGCTGTAGTGGGCTGCCATAAGCTACCGGGAGTGGCTGGCAGCCAGCGTGAACGGCTGGCAGCCAGCGTGAGCTGCCAAGAGCCACAGTGAGCAGCCGTCCAGTGGCCGGCAACAGATCTGCCTCACCCGGGAAGAGCACAATGATAATACCAACATGGCCCAGTGAAGCAACGTCCTCCACGACTAGACTGAAGAACAAAATGACAGCAACTTGTCTGTTCCCCTCCTCCAATTCCCCAATAAAATCTTTAATAAAATAAAATAAACAAATAAAAAATAAACTAACGGACAGGTAGCACAAAAAATCAGCACTATAAAACTGGGACAATGAAGGGGAACTGCTGGGAATAGAAATAGAGCCTGAGCGGCTGACTTCGCCTCACCCTGACAGCTGCTACTGTCACTTATAAGAATCACCAATCCAAGAAAAATACTGGGGAAATGTGAAACTTCAGAGGAGAACATTGGGGCTGCTCCTCACTTGGAAAGCCTCCGAGAGCTGGTCCCTCAGAGGTGTGAGGCTTTGTGTCCTCCAAGGAGGCCCTGCCATTTTCAGGGTCAGGATGTGGTTGGTGAAGGAGTAGAGGTGGCAGGAGTCTATCTGATGGTGCCTTCCATCCCACCTTCTCTTCCTTGCACAGGGTGGCATCCCCTTCATCCACAGTCTTCCCTGCTAGCAATCTTCCCATACTGGAGAGGGGAGGGGTGGCAGCAGCTCCTACAAAGTCCCAGCCTACCCTCTGCTCTGTTTCTTTCTTTCCTCCCTTCAAGAATTTGCTATACTTGCCATAGTGCTTTCTACTTTTTTTTTAAAAAAAAAAGCTAATTTAAACACACTTACAGATGCAAGGAACATTAGATAATGTTCTTGATATACCACATCCTGTGCACACCAAGAAGTTGGTCACATACCAAACCCACATGCTCAGCCATTTTCCAGGGAGGAGAGAAGAAAACAGAAGCCATGAGGGGAGTACTGCTCCTTACCTGGCAGTCATAAAAAGGGTGTCCCCGCCAGCACATCACATCCAGAACATAGTAGGTCTGCTTCACCTCACTGTAAATGCAGTCCAGAATGGTGTAGTCTGGGACACAACGCACAGTTAGTACACGGTTCTCCTCCAATCAGGGTTCCCGGCACCACTATCCAGGGAGCCCCATCTTAGGGCCTGGGAACTGAGTCCAACAATCCTCAGTGCTTGCGGCAAGCACCAGCACTAAGGAGTAATGATTCAGTGGGGAGAGAGTGCTGCAGGGTGCAGCCGAAGGCGGACCTGACGTAGGATAGCACAAGGAGCACGGCAGCCCTAAGCCAAGTGGGAACCTGAACTTCTAGGTAAACTGGGACATTTACTCCCCTTAGAGAAACTCAAGTTTGAAAGCAAGTACTCTTCCCTTTTAGTTTACAACTACTTTTTGAGTTACTATCATGGGCAATGTGTTCTGTAAGTAGCCGTGCCTTTAAGGAAGTTACAATCCAGTTAAGTAGATGAGGAAAGAACAAAGAGCTGAACTGTATAGCACAGACTAAGAGCAATAGGAATTCCAGGAAAAGGGGACGGGAGCAGCAGGAAATGCTTCACAGAAGAGATGCGATATGAGCAGTCTGGGATCAGAGGATGAAAACGACAGGGCAGAGGAGAGGTGGGAGGGCACGTCAAGCCAGAGTACTGAGGTAGCATGAGCAGGGGCCCAGAGGGAGAATGAACTGGCCATGTGTGGGGTACAAGGAGGCAAGCGAGTTGAATAGAGCGAAACGTGGATATGGAGAGTCGGGGAAAGATACAAGGATGGGTGGGCCAAAGCCCATGCGGGAGAAAAGTCTGGGCTCAGTGCTGAGGACACAACGAACCACCAAAGGCATCCAGGCAGGCAGGAAAGAGAGCAGACTTCAGCCCAGCTCTGCCATTTCCTCACTGAATGACTGTGGGCAAGTTAATTAAACTCCATGATCTTAGTCTCCTCAGCTGGGCTCAGGTGGGAGGAAGAAGCTAAGGTTAGGACAATAAAAGTGAAAAGGAAATTTGGCAGGGAATCCCCACCAACAGCTTACTGTCTGTTACCCTGGGAATGCTGAGGGACATTTCCCACACACACTGAAGATGTCTCCTGTAATGGAGGCCATGCGAAAGGCGTGTTGACTTTAATTCAGGGATGTGCTGTCCTGCAGACCTCACCCGGCTGAGTCTATTCTGCAGCCAAGGAGGCCTGACCTTAAGGAGACAGCCTGTCCGGTGGGCAGGAGAGTGTTATGCAGTTCCAAAGGTAAGCATTCAAAGTCGGTCTTTAAAAGAATTACCCAAGCAACTTACACTGTTTTTTACTAATTACAAAACTTAAATAGGCAATTTTATGTGGGTACCTTTTGCTGTTGTTGAGTTTTGCTTGTTGCCTCCTGGCAGAAGGGAAGAAAACCTGTTGACACAATAACCACTCTTGGTGTAAGCACTGGTGGAACCCTGTGTGGAAAGAAAGGTAGCAATCCCATTAGCCATCAACCCAAAGGTGGCTCTCAAAAAATCCTCTACAAGAAAGCATCTCCGTCCCCATGCTGGGCAGAGCTGCTGGGGCAGATGAGAAACAGGGAGTACAAAGAATCCCTCCTACTTCAGCCCAGGCGTGGTGGTGTGTGGACAGAAGGCAGTACTCACCCTGGAGGCCACAATGAGTGCTCTTTTTCCAATAGGGCACACGACCACAATCCATTCCTGCCCCAAATCTGAAGGGACATCAATTAACCACTCAGACAGCATCAACTGGGAACACAAAACATGGTGTTAAAAATCAATAGGGGGGCCAGCCGAATGGCACGTTGATTAAGAGTTGGCTTGGGATGCCAGTTCTGAGCAGCAGGGCCCTGGTTCGGATCCCATATGAGGGCCAGTGATGGTGCGCCCTCTACAGCTAAGATGGTGAACAACAGCTCGACCTGGAGCTGGGTTGCCATGAGTTGCCAGCAACGGCGTAGGCTACAGTGGAGCTGCAGTGGGCTGCCGTGAGCTATCGTGAGTGGCTGGCAGCCAAAGTGAGCTGCCAAGAGCTGCCGTGAGCGGCCGTCCAGTGGCCAGTGACCAATCTGCCACAGCTGGGAAGAGCGCAATGATAAATACCAACATGGGCCAGTGAGGCAACGTCCTCCACAACTAGACTGAAGAACAAAAGGACAGCAACTTGTCTGTTCCCCTTCACAGATTCCCCAATGATGTTCCCCTTCCCCAATTCCCCAATAAAAATAAATAAATAAATAAATAAAAAATCAAGAGGTGGGGCAACCGAATGGCTCAGTTGGTTAAGAGCTTGCTCAAGAGTGCGAGCTCTGAGCAACAGGGTCGCCAGTTCGATTCCCACGTGAGCCAATGAACTGCACCCAAGCTGAGCTGCCACTGAGCTGCCAACAGGTAACAGGATGTCTCAGCTGGTGAGAGCACGTGCTCCTTACAACAAGGTTGCCTGTTTGAGATGGCGGGCTATGCCTGCCCACAACTAAAGACTGAACTCGATGCTTTAAGCTGAGCTGCTGCCTGGGTGGCTCAGGGGATAGAGCACGCACTCTTAACAACAAGGCTAGGTTCCCTGGTGGTCTAGTGGTTAGGATTTGGCGCTCTCTTAACAAGGCTGCCGGTTCGACTCCCGCATGGGATGGTGGCTATGCCCAACCACAATTAAGACTGAACTCGGCACCTTGAGCTGAGCTGCCGCTCGGATGGTTCAGTGGATAGAGCATGCACTCTTACCAACAAGGCTGCCGGTTCGACTCCCGCATGGGATGGTGGCTATGCCCACCCGCAACTAACTGAACCCAGCACCCTGAGCTGAGCGGCGCAACTGGACTTGGAGCTGCGCTAGCTGCACTCTCCACAACTAAGATTGAAGGACAACAGGGCCGGCCGAGTGGCGCGATGGTTAAGAACTGGTTTGGGAGCCAGAGAGCCCCGGTTCGGATCCCACATATGAGGGCCAGTGACACTGCCCTCCACAGCTAAGATTCTGAACAACAGCTCA